CATTGTGGAAGACAGTGTGGTGATTCATCAAGGATCTAGAAATAGAAATATCATTTGACTCAGCAACCCATTACTGGGTATATACCCAAAGGATTATAAATCATTCTGTTATAAAGACACATGCACATGTATGTTTACTGTGGCACAGATCACAATACCAAAGACTTGGAACCAACCCAAATGCCCATCAATGATAGACTGGATAAAGAAAATGTGGCACATATACACCATGAAATATTATGTAGTCATAAAAAAGGATGAGTTCATATCCTTTGTAGGGACATGGATGAAGCTGGAAACAATCATTCTCAGCAAACTGACACAAGAAAAGAAAACTAAACAACGCATGTTCTCACCCATAAGTGGGTGTTGAACAGTGGGAACACATGGACTCAGGGATGAGAACATCACACACTGGGGACTCCTGGGGCTGGGGGTAGGGCTAGGGGAGGGATAGCAGGGGTGTGGGAATAGGGGATGGATAGCATTAGGAGAAATACCTAATATAGATGACGGGGTGATATATGCAGCAAAACACCATGGCACATACATACCTATGTAACAAACCTGCACTTTCTGCACATGTACCCCAGAACTTAATGTATAATTATAAAAAAGAAGAAGAAATATTTAAAAAAAAAAAAAAGTGGCGTGTATTACACAAGGAGGAAGCTCTAATTAAAGGGTGTATATTAGTTAATAACAATGTATCAATATTGACTCATGTAAGGAGGTATTAGTAATTGTAATACATTGTATCACTAATAGGGGAAACTGTGAGGGTGGAGGGGTAACATAGTGATTCTGTATTTCCTGCTCAATTTTTCTGTAAACCTACAACTGCTCTAAACATAAAGCTATTAATTAAAAACAAAGAAACAAAACAAAGTAATATTTTCCACAACATTGAGTCTAAACCTCTTAGCATGGTTTTAAAAGCCCTTCATGTGCAGGCAATTGTCTTGTTCCAGACTCATTTCCTGCCGCTTTCCACATATGGCCACATATGGCCTTATTACCTTACATGGTAATAAGACTGAAGCCCTTGATGTCCAAAGATCATAGCAATTTCATGTAACATCCTTTGTTTGGCATACACCTCCACCTGCATTGTCTATGTAGCAAAAGTATATGCCTTAAACATTCACTTTCATAAAAGCTTCTTCCTTGATCTCTTTAGTCTGCCTTTTCTGCTGCCATAGAACTTTGTACAACATAACCCAACTGTACCACTTATTTCCACAGAAATGGAACAGATACACTACACTGAGTAACTTAAGATCAGACACAATATCCTATTCTTTATTTTCCCAGAACTTAGCCTACAAGCACAGGATTCAAGAAGCTGGGCTCATAGAAAACTTAAATCTTAAAATTATTTCCAATCAGATTTTATAGGACTCAATTTTTTTAAATCCTAAAATATTGTATACATCTTTTATACTACCTTTCCAAATCAAGTATTATCTTTGGTGCAGTAGTTAATTTTTGCTGAATGACACTCTACTGACTCTTAAAAAAAATCTACCTCCCAACTGTGGAAATAGAAGTCAACATACTTAACACCAACAAAAAGTAAACCTGAGTTTCTCACCAAAAATATCATACACATAGTTCTATCTTCTTAGCGTCTCTCTTATCCTACTTTTAAGGGTAATAATACCACTCTTCTTCCCTTTAGGAAACTCCCCTTTACTCCTGGTAGCTAATGGGGAACTGATAATGAGGTTACACAAGTGAGCAGCCATGTGTCAGAAAGAACCCCACATTCACATCACAGGGAAATAAATTGGTTCAGAAATGAACTGGTCACCTAAGTTAGGAAAATCAGAGTTCATCCTAGAAGTTTTTTTGTTTTCCAGGCAGAACTGGTTGAAAAAAAAAAAACCCATTGCTTCTAGGACCGGAGTATGGGGAAATAGCTATGTTTGCTGCTGCTGCTGCTGCTGCCGCCATACATTTATCCCTGGTTGTATGGAGAAAGCCTATCTGGGAATCAGGGGATGAAAAATAATAGGAGAAATAAAAAAGGGGTGGATAAGAGAAAGGAGGAAAAGATAAGAGGGAAGAAAAGAGAAAAAAGGAAATGGAGATAATGAAAGAAAAAGAGATAAAGATGAGAAAAAAATCTGATGACATCATTTGGGCACATAGGTAGCTTTGCTTCTGGACAATTCAGGCAGAAAAGCCATAAATTGTCACCTGTGCTTACTTTGATTTAGATTTCTGTAAGTTCCAACTGAGTGACTCCTGACTAATCAAGAAGCCCATCTACATTTTTTAGATTGTACCCCTTCCAAGAAAATACAAAACCCGTTTAATGACATTAATGGTATTTTTGCATGTCATTCTAGAATTTTAAAATTCTCCTTAAAGTTTTAAATCAAATTTCACAAGTTATTAAACTTATTCAATGTGACAGTCAGTAAAAGGACATAAAAGCAACTTAGGACAGTTAGGAATAGCATGCAATTCTATGCAATAATTGCATGTATGATCTCAGTGAAAAACGACAGACCTTCATCTTAAATAGTACTTTCTCTGACGCCTAAAAGATCCCACCTGGTACAAAAAAGATCCAAGACAAAAGAAATATCTACTAAGCTATCTGACATTCTGTTAATGTCTGTTTTTTCTCCTGAGGTCTGTATTACAACTAAAGCTTACGATGTCTGGCAGGATCAATGTCTACAGTGATATTATAGCAAATGGCTTATTTACTTATAATGACAAATTTCACTTAAATGTATTATTCTCCAATTTTTATTAGCCATTAGAAAATTAGAAATTAAAACCACAATGAGAAGTCACTACAATCAGATGGCTAAAATAAAAATATAAGCAATATATTAAAATATAAATACAAATGGCTACAATAAAAATAAAAAACAGTGACAACACCAAATTATGTCTAGTATGTGGAGAAACTAGATTATATTGACTTACTGTGTTAAATGGTACAGTCACTCTAGAAAACAGTTTAGTTGTGTCTTAAAAACCTAAGTATGCAGTTGCAATATGACCCAGAAAATGCATTCCTGGACATTTATTAAACAGAATGAAAACTTATATTCACAAAAACCCCTCCATATCAGGTTTATAAAACTTTATCTGTTTTATGGAAAAAACTATGCCCTTCAAAATTTGTATACTGAAGCCCTCATCCCTCAATGTGACTGTTTTAAAGATAGAACTTCTAGGGAGGTAATTAAGGTTAAATGCAGTCATAAGGGTGGGCTCCTAACCTGATAGGGCTGGTGACCCTATAAGAAAAGGAAGAAACACCTCTCTTCATACACGCACAGAGAAGAGGCTATGTGAGAACACAGGAATAAGGCAGAAAGTAAGTATCTGCAAGCCAGGAAGAAATCCTCAACAGAAACAAAATCTGCTAGCACCACCTGATCTGCGACGTTTAGCCTCCAGAGCTGTGAGAAAATCATTTTCTGCTTCTTTAAGCCACCTGGTCTGTGGTCTTTTGTTATGGCAGATAAATACAGTTTGTAATCACCAAAAACTATCAATAAAATGAATGTCCTTCAATAGGTGAACAGTTTAAAACAAAAACAAAAACAAAATTGTGGTCATCTGTATCATGATTGGTAGGCAGAAAATGTCCACATCCTAAATCCTAATCCATAGAGTCTGTGAATACATCAAATTATATAGGATATGGACATTAAGGTGGCAGACGGAATTAACCTACTAGAAAAACTCCAATAATTCAAATAAAAATTAACAAAATACTTATTTAAAAATAAGAATGATAGAAAAATAAAAAAGCCTTTCATTCATTATTCATTTAAATGAATGTCAATGATGCTTTTTAAAACTATAAAGATTTAATACATAAAATAAAACTTAATAAATCTCAATGATGATACTGCTTATAATGATTGATAAGATTTATAACAATTGCATTATAATTATTTAATTTTATTGGCTGTCAGTCCTGATTGTATTTTAGAATCACCTATAGAGCTTCAAATAATCATCCCCAAAACATTGATACCTGGACCTTTTCGAAGAGATTAGGACTTAAATAGTAGCAAGGCACTTGGATTATGAAAAAGTTCTACAAGTACTTCTGATGTACAAGATATAACTAGAATTTTATTCTACTATAAAAACTTATTGTAAAAAACAACTTTATAACAAGTGCAGAAATACGTTTACTGAAACAGAAAGACACACATAACTATACACACACACACACACACACACACACACACACACAAACTATATATGATGTAATTCCATTTTTCTGAAAGAAAATACATAAGGACACATATGTATAGAATGGAGTTCATTTTGGTTGACAGTAGGTGCTCTTTACATGTTTTATGCTGCTGTTTTTGCTTGCCTGTATTATTTGTTATTTCTGAATGATTCTATATAACATATATGAAAAAACACAGCAACTTAATTTTGATATGGATAAGATTAACTTTCAATAATATGAATACTTTAACCTAAACTAAGGAATATTATATTTTGAGATAGAGTAAATGTGACAAAATTTTATCAAATGGTGAATCTAAATGAATGATATACAGATAGAACTATTTATGCCATTTTCCACAGGTCAGACATTCAAAATTTAAAAATTGAGAAAAATTAATTCTTAAAAATACTTTGGAATTTGCCATCTTCCCAAAAAGATTCTATTATAGGTTGACCATTTGATACAATCAATACAATAAAAAATCCTTTAAAACATTTTATTTAAATCAGTTTACATCAGTTAAACCAAACACTTAGCTGAAAAGAAAACATGAAACATAGAAATATATGCACAAAAATATATACACATTTAATATATGAAGAAATATATAGTGTATATGTTTTTTAATTTATACTCTCTTATGTAATTGCTAGTAACCAACTACATATGTCTGTACAGTATAATACCTTTTTTAAAACAATTTTTCCAGTATAAATTTATTCATACCACATATCAAACCTCAAAAAGTATCAACTCTATAAAGGGCTTATCTCACCTCATCTAAGTCTTGGATATAAACTGGCTTTTCCTCAAAGCTGAGTGGCATTGGTTCGCTGTAAGGAATCCTTACTTCTTCATAAAGCTTGTTATTCTCTCTTTGGATTCCTTCTGGCAAAATCATCTATAAACACCAAAAATAAAAATTCAATAATAATAAAAAATACACTTGATCTTATAAAGATTCTTTAGAAAGAGAGAGAAAAAAACACCACTGGTTTTATAAAACAGCACTGGTAAATAAACTTAGCAAATTTAAAAGAAAACAAACCTAAATAGAACAAAAATAAATGCAAAATTCCACTCACATAAAGCATTAACATCAGGTATTTTATATAGCACACAGGCCACAGTATGTTGATGACTCTTAACATATATACTAATTAGATGGTACACCTGAATACAAATGTATTCCTATAATTAGGAAAATGTACAATAAACTATATAGTGTAAAGTTTAGCCAAACAATGATGCAACTGATAAAACTCAAAAATATAAACTGCGATAATAATGAAAGGGAGGGAAACAAATATGTTCTCAATATCTATTATATGTCAGGAGCTTTACATATACCACATTATGTCATTTTCCCCAAAACTTTAGAATAAAATTTAGCATAGTCAACTAGTGTTAGACTCATGAAGGAAACAGGGAAAATCTACACGTCATTTCCTTAGAATAGGCATATTATTCAAAACTAGTTCTATAACAGTGACATACCTTTGCACCAGCAATAAATGCTGATGTTTTCATGGCTTGAGCCTGGGAATCATACACATGAGGATAATGTATTTTTTCAATGTCTACGTCTCTCTGCCTGTTCAGAATTGGAACATTTCTAGCATTCAGAAGTGCCTGCTCTCTGTAAATATAAAAAATAGACCTAATTTGAAATTTTTATCTCGAAAAGTAATGCATACACTAAAACAAGATAATTATAAAAAAATCGGAGGTAGCCTTCTATCGTAAAAAAGAATAATTAAACTACAAAAAGGAAGATTTTAGAAATCCTGAAATTTTCTGGGTAACCAAATAGAATTCAGCATATTTTTAGGTATTATTTTTAGATAACACCACCTGGTACGTTTGATTTAATGTTCTTTATAATTTTGTTTTTTCACAATTCAAAGAAGTTTATTTAACAAGGTATAAATTTCTTTTCTGAAATGTGTTTCAATAATTAAAAAATCAAGTATAATAATGCTTAGATTTCATTTTTCTCCTTTATACTTCTAAAGAACATTTTTAAAAAGGTACATTAAGCACAGAAATGAAATGTATCTCAAATTTACGTAAGCTATTTAAATCTTAACCTAGAGCTGTGTACACAGCACCTAACAATAGCCTACGTCTATAATCTAAATCTCTATCTACTTGGATGCGAACAAGAATATTCTAATTAAGCAGATCATTGATTTCTTATCCCAGAAAATCAGGTATTCATAAAACAAACTTCTATTAAGAAAACATGACTTTAAGTAAAAATCACCTATACTGCTAAGACTAAACAAAAAAATGATAATAATACATAAAAGCGGCAATTACAACACAAGCATTTTTCAGTTTCTGGCTTTTATTACCTTTGTATCCGCAATTCCTTAGGATCAAAGCACATAAGTCCTTCTGAAACTTCTAAATCTTCTCCAGCCTTTTTTTCACGTCTGGCAATTCTTTTTTCTTCACGGCGATATTGTTTCATTAACTGCTTTTCTTGTTCAGACTGAATAGTGACTTGACAACCATAATTGGGTTTAGCATTTTCTCCTAAAATTTTTTTACAATTGTCTAAGAAGCAAATTTAAGAAATACAATGTTTTATAAATCTGAATATGATTTATTCTTCTTGAAAACCATTTCTTTTCTCCACCCCAGAATACATAATGCTCTAACAATTCATTTTTTAAAGCTGTCACATTCAATTATTATGTTTTAAGCAGAGTTTTTAAAAACCATAGTATCTAAATAAAGTTACATAGTGTCTTAAGAAAAGCCAGCAGTATTTTCTTCCTACAGACTCAACAGTTTAATCACTCACATTATAAATTCTTACATATAACATTAGGAACCTAAAAATTCAATTTTATCATTTGAAATAATTTGCTTATGTAATTTCAATAAATATAATATCAATGCTAATTAGCATTTACTGTTAATACAGCAATAAAATAAACTACCTACTAAACAACTTTTTTCTATGTAATAGACCTTATGCAGTTAAGCTGTATATATGTTACTACTTAATTATTTATACATTACATAAAATTTATTAGCAGTAGTTCAGGACATACTTAAGACAATGACTAAGCAAATAAAGCAAAAGTATGGTCTGCCTTTTCACCAAAACACAGCTTTTAAACAATAGAAAAACCAAGTGAATTAAAGCTCAATGTTTATAAAGTTTACTTTAGGTTTGTGGTTTGGTCAACTCAGTATTCAGGAAAAATTTTCTTCCAACAGGATTACCTTCTGTGTTTGTTTAAATCTTTACAAGCAACAGTATCTTCACTTACTGCAACTATAAAGCAACTAATAGGAATGTGGTTGAAAGTAATCCAAGTGAATACGCATTTATTGTAGTGAGGTCCTACTCAGTTCTAGGCACTGCAGCTACGCTAGGAAGACAATGAAGAATGAGACTTGGTCCATACTCTGACAGAGCACTGTGCAAATTATTTTATTGAATTACAACATCCAATATAGAACAGAGAAGGAATTAGGCATAGCATTAAGATGGGAAAATTAGCTTTCTAATTCACTTAAGTTGAATCCTCACAATTCTCAGACATTTGTTACTCCCCTATTGCATTATTCTGAATATGTCATTAAACTCTCAATCACAGGGAAAACTTGTATAATGGCTTTATAAGCCTTTAAAAGAAAAATATGTCTCAAAATTATGAAATAAAATAAAATCTCATGTATATTAGGACTATATTTTACAGTTCTGAAAAAAGCATTTTCCTAAGTCTTATATCCCTTATTTTGAATTCAGTCTTAAATACCTACTATAATAACAGAATTTATAATTAGCATTCAGTGTTAGAAAAAGAATGTAACTTTCTGCCAATTTTCACATGGACTCTGAACTCTTGATAAAAGTTAACTTGTCTGCAAAGTTATACAATCAGCAACACACATATTTAGCAGAATGTTTAAATGTGAATAATGCCATGTACTTAATATCAGAAATGAACGTTAAAGATTTTAAGCGTGAAACTGTAAATACTTTGGGTGACATACTAAATGCTATGCCAATGTCATTAAATTTTAAGCAAATGTGGCAGTAATAAAATATTATACATACTTCTGATCATCCAAATAAAATGAAAATTATAAGAAGAAAATATGTCTACCTCACAGCTTAAAAAGTCTTAATTAGAACATACATACTAGAATCCTGTAAGGCTGAGTATAATAGGTAATTTCAAAAAATCAAGTTGTAAAGCAGTAAAAGTTTAAATGTAGGTTCTCCTAGCTGGGTTAGGTTAACTGTAGAGACTGACCTGCAAAATTGAAATAAATATCCTCAACAGTAATTCTAACACAAGTTATTCTGAAGAACTATGCAGAATTTTGTATCCTTTTAGAATGGTCATTTAAAAGTGTGTAGCACTTCCCCCTTGCTCTCATGCTCCAACTCCTGATGTGTAAGATGCCTGCTCCCCTTTTGCCTTCTGCCATGATTGGAAGCTTCCTGAGGCCTCCCCAGAAGCAAAAGCTGTTAATGCATCATGTACACCCTGAAGATTGTAAGCCAGTTAAACCTCTTTTCTTTATAAACTACTCAGTCTCAAGTGTTTATAGCAATGTGAGAATGCACTGATACAAAAAGTATATTGATTCTAAGAAATTATCCTAATAGAATAAAATTTATGACATCAACATAATAAACATGAATAAATCATCAGTTTCCAAAAAATATATAAACCTGGACTTCTATTAAACTTTGTATTAATAAATTACCACTATTAAAAGGTAGAATCAGGCTGGACACTGTGGCTCACACCTGTAATCCAAACATTTTGGGAGGCTGAGGTGGGAGGACTGCCTGAGGCTAGTAGTTTGAGACTACCCCGGGCAACATGGGGAGACCTCATCTTTATTTTTTTTTTAAATTAATTAATCAGGCATGGTGGCACACACCTGTGGACCTATTTACTTGGGAGGCTAAGAGGAGCACCTGAGCACAGAAGGTTGAGGCTGCAGTAATCCCCAATTGTGCCACTGCTCCCTAGCCTGAGCAAGAATGCAAGGGCCTGTCTCAAAAACAAAAGCTAGAATCAGCAAATATCTCTTTATTAATATAGGAGACTGACAAAAGAAATACCAAATTCTCAGAATTTACAACACTGTAGGACTAGGTATTTAAACTCATTTGTATTCTTTGGCAGATACCCATTTTAGATGCTCATAATCCTTGCTGGCTTACTGCAATTTCTGGATATATACTATTCAACAGGTGTGATATGGTTAGGCTTTGTGTCCCCGCACAAATCCCACCTTGAATTGTAATCCCCATAATCCCCAGGTGTTGAGGGAGGAAACTGTGGGAGGTGACTGATCACAGGGGCAGTCACTGAGATGCTGTTCAGTCACCCCCATGCTGCTCTAGTGATAGTGATTGAGTTCTCAGGAGATCCGATAGTTTTATGTTTGGCAAGTTTCTCCTGTACATACTTTTCTCTCCTGTCGCCATGTGAAGTAGGTTCTTGCTTCCCTTTTACCTTCTGCCAAGTTTCCTGAGGTCTCCAGCGATGTGGAACTGGGAGCCAATTAAATCTCCTTTGTTTACACATTGCCCAGTCTCAGGTAGTATTTTTATAGCAGTGTGAAAACAGACTAATACAAGGTAGGAGCACTCTTGGAGGAAGGCAGAATAGAAATGTTCAATACACTTAAAGAACAAAGGGACTTGCTGACAAAGTTGCTAAATTCATATTTTCCAAGAATCTTACAATCTCAAAGCAACTTTAAGGTTCTGAGAACATTTATTAGTATCAAAGAAATCTGTTAAGAAACACAGAAAATTTGTCAGAAATTTTAGATTTAAATCATAGCTGTTTTTATCATTTCCTTTTAGTGCAATAATAATAAATGTAAGAAAATGAGGGCATAACTTACAAGAATGATAGATATTAAATAGTTTGAAGACAGTTGCCAGATTTCTTATGCTCATATACTTTTTTAAAATCCCAAACTATCTGTAGGGCTGGCAAAAAACACTGTGGTAAAGGTAAAAAAAATATATATATATTTTTCTGTTTATCACTTAAAATCTGAGTTTTGCATCAGCTATGTTGTAAGTCAACCTTTTTAAAAAATAATTTTGGTTCCCTAGTCAATTCTTCTAATTTTTCAGGGATTTAAAAATATATGTAATAACATATATTTTCAATATGCTCAGCGTGATAATTGCATTGTGCTTAGACATGTGCTAAAGATTTTATAGGTAAAGTACCTAAAGGTCTACAACTTCCTGTCATTGTTCAGCAAAAATTTAAAAAGTAGGTGTAAGTGTAAAGGGTCTAGGAGGAGCCAAATGTTAAAAACTAATGAATCTATATGAAAGGTAAAGAATGATCATTGTATTATTCTTACAATTTTAACTATAGGTTTGAAAGTTCTCAAAATAAAAAGTTGGAGAGAAATTAAACTACTACTTGGGCCCACAGTAATTACATGTGTATTTTCTCTTTAAAGAAAATTGGCCATGCAGAAGCTCTTTAATTAGGTCCCATTTGTCAATGAAGTAAGCAAACAACCTCTAGAACTAGAAAAAAATAATTGTATCCGAGAAAGGCCTAATATCCAGAATCTATAAGAAACTTAAATCAATAAGCAAAAAACAAATAACCACATTAATAAACACTTAAAAAAAAAAAAAAAAGGCTGGGCACAGTGGCTCATGCCTGTAATCCTAGCACTTTGGGAGGCTGAGGCAGGTGGATCATGAGGTCAAAAAATCGAGACCCCCCTGTCTAACATGGTAAAACCCCATCTCTACTAAAAATATAAAACTTAACTGAGCGTGGTGGCACATGCCTGTAGTCCCAGCTACTCAGGAGGCTGAGGTGGGAGGATCACTTGAACCCAGGAGGTGGAGGTTGCAGTGAGCCAAGATCATGCCACTGCACTCCTGCCTGGTGAAGAGTGTGACTCTGTCTCAAAAACAAGACATACAAGCAGCCAACAAATGCTAATCATCACCAGTCATCAGAGAAAAACAAATCATGAGCACAACGAGACACCAACTCACACCAGCCAGAATGGCTATTATTAAAAAGTCAAATAATAACAGATGTTGGCACAGCTGCAGGAAAAAGGAACATTTACATACTTGGTAGGAATGTAAATTAGTCCAGCCACTGTGAAAAGTAGTTTGGAGATTGCTCAAAGAGTTTACAACAAGAGTTACCATTTGATCCAGCAATTCCATCACTGGGTATATACTGCCAAAAAACTCAATCCTTATACTAAAAAGACATAGGGACACACATGTTCATCATAGCACTATTCACAACAGGAAAGACACAGAATCAACCTAAATTCCCATCAACAGTGGACTGGATAAGGAAAATGCAGTTTGAACCTATGAACCATGGAACCCTATGCAGCCATAAAAATATAAAATCATTCTGGTTTTCCTGAATAGAGTCCATAGTAACATTTTTCTTATAACTCACTATGTAACAGCTGTCATTTTACAGTGAAAGAACCATTAGAATGTTCTTTTTTTTTTAATGGCATTTTAGGTTTCAGGGTACATGTGAAGAACATGCAAGATTGTTGCATAGGTACACACATGGCAGTGTGATTTGCTGCCTTGCTCCCCATCACCTATATCTGGCATTTCTCCCCATACTATCTCTCCCCAACTCCCCATCCCCTACTGTCCCTCCCCTATCTCCCCCAACTGACCCCAGTGTGTGATGCAACCTTCCCTGTGTCCATGTGTTCTCATTGTTCAACACCCACCTATGAGTGAGAACATGCAGTGTTTGATTTTCTGTTCTTGTGTCAGTTTGCTGAGAATGATGGTTTCCAGGTTCATCCATGTCCCTACAAAGTACACTAACTCATCATTTTTGATGGCTGCATAGTATTCCATGGTGTATATGTGCCACATTTTCCCTGTCCAGTCTATCATCGATGGGCATTTGGGTTGGTTCCAGGTCTTTGCTATTGTAAACAGTGCTGCAACGAATATTCGTGTGCATGTGTCCTTATAGTAGAATGATTTATAATCCTTTGGATATATAGCTAGTAATGGGATTGCTGGGTCAAATGGAATTTCTATTTCTAGGTCCTTGAGGAATCGCCACACTGTCTTTCACAATGGTTGAACTAATTTACACTCCCAACAATAGTGTAAAAGTGTTCCTATTTCCCCATATCCTCTCCAGCATCTGATGTCTCCAGATTTTTTAATGATTGCCATTCTAACTGGCATGAAATGGTATCTCAATGTCGTTTTGATTTGCATTTCTCTCATGACCAGTGATGATGAGCATTTTTTCATGTTTGTTGGCCTCATGTATGTCTTCTTTTGTAAAGTGTCTGTTCATATCCTTTGCCCACTTTTTAATGGGCTTGTTTTTTTCTTGTAAATCTGCTTTAGTTCTTTGTAAATTCTGGATATCAGCCCTTTGTCAGAAGGGTAGATCGCAAAAATTTTTTCCCATTCTGTTGGTTGCCAATTCACTCTAATGATTGTTTCTTTTGCTGTGCAGAAGCTGTGGAGTTTGATTCATTCCCATTTGTCTATTTTGGCTTTTGTTGCCAATGCTTTTGGTGTTTTGGTCATGAAGTTCTTGCCCATGCCTATGTCCTGAATGGTTTTGCCTAGATTTTCTTCTAGGGTTTTTATGGTGTTAGGTCTTACGTTTAAGTCTTTAATCCATCTGGAGTTAATTTCAGTATAAGGTGTCAGGAAGGGCTCCAGTTTCTGCTTTCTGCACATGGCTAGCCAGTTTTCCCAACACCATTTATTAAACAGGGACTGCTTTCCCCATTGCTTGTTTTTGTCAGGTTTGTCAAAGATCAGATGGTTGTAGATGTGTGGCATTATTTCTGAGGCCTCTGTTCTGTTCTGTTGGTCTATATCTCTGTTTTGGTACCAGTACCATGCTGTTTTGATTACTGTAGCCTTGTAGTATAGCTTGAAGTCTGGTAGTGTGATGCCTCCCGCCTTGTTCTTTTTGCTTAGAATTGACTTGGCTATACAGGCTCTCTTTTGGTTTCATATGAAGTTTAAGGTGTTTTTTTCCAGTTCTGTGAAGAAGGTCATTGGTAGCTTGATGGGGATAGCGTTGAATCTGTAAATTACTTTGGGCCGTGTGGCCATTTTCACGATATTGATTCTTCCTAACCATGAACATGGAATGTTTCTCCATCTGTTTGTGTCCTCTCTTATTTCATTGAGCAATGGCTTGCAGTTCTTCTTGAAGAGGTCCTTTACGTTCCTTGTTAATTGTATTCCTAGGTATTTTATTCTCTTTGTGGCAGATGTGAATGGCAGTTCCTTCTTGATTTGGCTCTCTTTAAGTCAGTTATTGGTGTATAGGAATGCTTGTGATTTCTGCACATTGATTTTGTATCCTGAGACTTTGCTGAAGTTGCTTATCAGTTTCAGGAGATTTGGGACTGAGATGATGGGGTCTTCTAGATATACAATCATGTCGTCTGCAAATAGAGACAATTTGACTTCCTCCTTTCCTATTTGAATATCCTTTGTTTGTTTTTCTTGCCTGATTGCATGATGTTCTTTGCAACAACATGAATGCAACTGGAGGTCCTTATCCTAAGTGAATTAATTAAGAAAACCAAATACCTCATGTTCCCACTTTAAGTTGGAGCTAAACATTGGGTACACACAGTCGCAAAGATGGAAAAAACACACTAACTAGGGAGTCCAAAAGACAAGTAACAGGGAGTAGGGAAAGGGCTAAAAAACTACCTATCAAGTACTATGTTCACTACTTGGGTGACAGAATCTGTATCCCAAACCTTAGCATCAAACAATATACCCATGTAACAAACCTGCACATGTACCTCCTATTTGCAAAATAAAAGAAGCACATTTGTGTATTCTAAGTAGTTTTACCTTTACCAAAAAATGCCATATTCAAACACTGCCCTCCTATTTAGATCACTTATGTTTGTTTCATAATATGCCATATCTAAAATCTATTTAACAGAGTAATATCAGTAAATTATATAATAAACCAAAAGATATTTAAATGTAATTACATTACAAACATTTGCTAACCAATGAATCTTTTGTTTAAATTACAATTACCGCTGCATACTTTCTTACCTTGAAGAGCCTGAAACTTATGATCATTTGAAGAATTAAGAAATCTATCCACAATTGTAATTCTGTTCTGGAGGAGTTTCTCAATAAGTTCAAGTCCTTCGGGTCCCAGCAGTTCAAATAGCTTATAAAAAGAGAAAAAAGTAACAAACATTTGTTACCTCAAAGTTTAACTTGTTCAAGTTATTAACAACCTATTAAACAGAGGTGTAAACCCAAACTAATCTCAAAAAGTTTAATAAAAAGTTATTTAAACTAAGATAAATGACTCTTCACATTCCCAAGAATTTTTATAAAGGCTATCTGCAATTTTATAATTAAAAAACAGTACTCAATTTTTTAAAATAATTAAGATTTTAATACATAACTCTAAATCACAGAATAACAAATTCTTGGTATAACCAAATGAAATTCTAAAATAATTTAATTTGCTCTTCAACATATCATTCTGGTTTTCCCAGAGTCCAGAGTACTATTTTTCTTACAGCTTACTACCCAACAGCTGTCATTTTAGCATTAAGGAATCATTAGAATGATTTAATGAATCATGACTTCGTGCCAATTTTTTACATGTATTTTAAATGCTAAATGAATTTGAAATCTAAAACACAGTGCTGCAAGTGCTTTACAGAACTTTATAAAAAATTTCCCAAGCATATCCCACTCTCCTATACAGAGTAGTTATCAAAGATTAAGTTGATATCAGAGTTAGAGAACCAGTGTTAGGATTCAGAGAGTTTCACTATATAATTGCACAATATAAGTATTCTAGAAAATCTCTAGGCTTCTGCAGGTATGACCTGGGAAGATACATATATTTATTGTTTTGAAATATTATACTCTAATTTTGCATATGAATATGTTATGCTAACTAAATTCTAACCACTCTCAGAGAATCCACACAAATAAAATCATAAAATAAAATTTTACTTTGTGTATATGGATGTTAAAAGTTCAATAAATATTTTCTTTTTGCTGTTCGTTTTACTGAAGTTATACACAAAGGGGCAACAAAAGAAACAAAATGAATTGTTAAGAATAATCCTGTCCAATCAATTTTAATTCTACTGGCCAGTATTTTTTTTCAAGTGTGCAGATGATCAAACTGGCCAGAATTTTTTATTGAACACATTATATGCCAGGTACTATGATAGGCATTTTACTCATCCAATCTAACAAATCCTCCTAACATATTTTCACATTAAGGTATTATTATTATTGTTGGACTTAAGAAAAGAAAGCTTTAGAAAATTTACACAAATTGTCCAAAGTTACACAATAGTAGCATTGTTTGAAAATGACATCTATCTGAATCCAAGCCTAAAGAACTTTCCACTGCACTTTACTAACACTTTTGAATATTTTCCAGAAACCTGTGACCCTGAAATGAATATGAAATATATTGTAATATAAAAGATATCAAATTGGGTAATATAAAGGATATTAATTGAGGTTAATAAACTTTTGTAAAGGGAAACAGCAGAGGTAGCAATAAAGAGGCAAAGATAAGAAGTAGGGTCAAGAAATATGAAAGTAAATATATAACTTGTTACACCCGCCCTCTTCCCCTCAAAAAAAAAAGACTAATAATATGTGGCAGAAAGGGTTTAAGAAAGACAAGGATAACAGATGCTGCAAAACAAGACATAGTGTCTGTGTTCCCTTTCCTACCATACTTCCTCAAAGAATCACCCATCAATAAAGTATGCTATATGGAGTCCTGCAAGTCAAAATTATTTTCATAATAATACTTAGCTATTATTTGCCTTTCTCATTCTGTTGACATTATACTGATAATGCAAAAGCAATGGTGAGTAAAACTGCTGGTGCCTTTGTACAAATCAAGCTAATAGTATCAAATGAATTAGTAATCATTGTATTCTTTGCTGTCATACAAGCACAATTACAAAGAACAACAACAACACAAAGCCAACTTTACTTAAGAATGTCCTTAAGTGAAGCAATAAAAATTATGAGTTTTATACATTTCATGAGTATGTATCATTTTTAATATTCTGTGACAAAAGGAGATATATAGTTACTTCTACTACAATAAATATATGTATAAAAGTATTTTATAAAACTTTTATAGGAGTATAAAATTGCTAGTAAAGAGGCTTTCTATGTAACATCACTGATTTGAAAGAATGACTAAAGACAAATTAATTATTTAGATTAGGATAGCTGACAAATACTTTCTCAAAAATGAAAGTGAGCCTGCTACACAAAGAAAATAACTGAATGTATTTGTTGCCAATGCTAAAATGCAAGTTTTCAAGAGAAAATTAGAATTTTGAAAAACTTGCATTCACCACTGTAAATCTGACCATTACCCAAAACGTAAGACTTTTCTGATGATACCAGTGGTAAGATTAATGAATGGATGAATTCTTTTTATATTATATAATCAAATGTGTCAACATTTATAAGATTTGCATAACTCACTGAATCAATTATTTTCCAAAAACTTACACATGACATTATAAAATTATACACAGGTAAAAAATATCCATTAAAAATGAGAAAGCCAATAAATTTTCAGGAAACCTACTATAAAAATTCACTGATACACCAGATTTTCATTGTAACTAACTTGCAAGAAACTACTGCTTGTCGAGTTTTAATTTAGTGTTGAAAAAGAGTATTAAAAATTATTTGAAAAGGCTTTTAAAATATTATTCTCTTTTCTAACTGCATATCTATGTGAGGCTAGATTCCCTTCATATACTTAAACCAAAAATATATATTATAGCAGATTGAATACAGAAGCAGATATGAGAATCTGTTTTCTATTAAGCCAGATATTAAAAAAATAAAAAATAAACCAGACATTTAAAAGACTGCATAAACTTAAAATAATGCCACTTTTCTTTCTATATATTATAATTTTGAAAAATATAGTCAATTTTCATCAAGTTGCTAATTTCTATTATTATTGTTATTTTAAAATGAATAAATATATGTAGTCATGTGTCACTTAACAACATATATCCTGAGAAATACACAAGTAGGTGATTTTGTGGGAACATCATAGAGTGCACTTACGCAAACCTAAATGAGGCAGCATACTACACAGCTAGACTATATATGGTATAGCCTAATTCTTTTATGCTACCAACCTGAACAACATTTTACTATACTGAATACTAGAGTCATCTGAAATACAATGGTAAGTATTGGTGTATCTAACCATATGTAAACATAGATAAGATACAGTAAAAAATACTGTGCAAAAGATAAAAAATGGTATACCTATATACCTGAAAGAGCACTTACTATGAAGGAAGTCTGCAGGATTGGAAGTTACTCTAGTGGAGTCAGTGAGTGAGTAATGAGTAAATGTGAAGGTCTAGGACGTCACTATACTAACACAGACTTTATAAACACTGTTCACTTTGGCTACATTACATTTGTGTTTTCAAAAAAAAGTCTTCAATAGGTTGACCTCAACTTACTATAACTTTTTTACTTCATAAACTTATATTTAACTTTTTGACTCTTTCATAACACTTAGTTTAAAACACAAACACACTGGACAGCTTTACAAAAATATTGTCTGTCTTTATAACCTTATTCTATAAGCTTTCTTCTATTTTTAAAATTTTTATGTTTTCAACTTGTTAATTAAAAACTCACACACAAAAACAGATCAGCTCAGGCCTACACAAAGTCAGGATCATCAAGATGTCAATGGTGATAGAAATATTTCAGTTCTATTATAATATTTCAGGACCACTGTTGTTTATAATCCATCATTGACCAAAACATCATTTTGCAGCACATGACTGTACTTGAAGAGTTTCTCAGTTTTAGTTTCTGGTATAGTAAACACCAACAGACATAAATCACATCTTGGGGTACTCAATAACTTTTAAGAGCATAAAGAGGTTCTGAGATCATAAAGTTTGATATCTGATATCCAAGATTACTATAAAACATTTCTAAATGGTCACACTCTACTTATTTTATACCCACATCTCTATAGCTTTTCCATGCCATGGCACTTTGAAAAGTCATAGTATTTATAAAGTATATGAAGTAAATGGACAAGGCTACTCTGGCCAAAAGAGACTAAATAAAAGCCTAAGTGATCCTTGGCCCAGGCAACTGCCTTGAGGGTTAGTTAGTAAGAGTAGTATCCCAGGCAACCTACAACCCATTGTATTATATGCCCTAGCACACCAGAAGGAAACCTCTACTATACTAACACATAAATCTGTTCGTATATCGTGGTTTAAAATCCTTCATAGCATCCCAATCCTTACAAGATAAAATCCAAACCTCTGAGCACTGCCACATGATTGATATCTTCTATTGGCTGGTCCCAATAAGCCTGTCTGGCATCACATTCTTGTTTTCCCCAACTCATAAGTCCTTATCATTCAATGACACGAATCCATCTGCTACTCTGAAGGCATGCTCTTTCACATGGCCGATACGTCTATACATGCTGGTCCTGCTAGGCAGAAAGAACTTTCTAGTCTCCTCAGCCCAGTAACCTCTTCTTTTAGTTTTCAAAATCCAGCTCAAATAATAACTCTTCTCCAAAACTTTCTCTGTCTTTATTATGTTTTACGGCAGTCAGAACAGCATACAAAGCTTCCCCATTACGCTGTGTCTTCCTTAAAGGAAACTTCACTCTCTGTTTCTCCAAGAGTTAAAACAGTAGAAGACAAATGGCAAGTGCTAATTATATAAGATGCATCAAAGACATGTTTTATTCATAACAGTATTTTCTTTCACATTTTTAACCCTTAAATATCATATTTTTTCAAAGGGAATCATTAAAAGCAAAAGTTTTATTTACTAGATTAAACTCTTTCTAAATGAAAGTAAATACTGTCTCTAAAAATAATCTCAAAACAGAAAGAATCCTGTGTAGGTTGCTTTTGACACATAAAAAAGTCTTTTGCCAAACTCCAACCAACACAGGATGAAGATTAAGCTTTTGTTGTTGTGTTGTTGTTTAATCTCCTTCAATTGCTAGTAGTTGCAAGCGCTTTAAGGCCCTCCTGCAACCTCAAAAAAGGTTAACATATAACAAGCATAAGAGATGCCACTAAATCTACATTAAGATTCCTAAAAAAGTGGCCAGGCATGGTGGCTTACACCTGTAATCCCAGC